CCCCCAAAAAAAAAAAATCTCCCTCAAATCTAGAATCTACATGTACACTCAAATACATTTTTGGAAGGACTTCCGTAACGAGCAACCACACCAACAAAGACACTAAAGAATGGACCTAATCTTATCCCTAATCTCGACCCTTACCATAGCCCAAACCCAAACCAAACCCTAAACCCAAGCCTTAACCCTAATAAAAAATATTTCATTATGGTCGCTCGGGAAGGACTTCCGTAACGAGCAACCATCCCAACGAACACAATAAAGAGAGATAACCCAAACCTGACCCAACCCCCAACCCTCACCACTACCCCAAACCATAACCCTAACCATATCCATCTATTTTACTCTGTATCACTGTGGTCGCTCGTTGCTGAATCCCCCGCTCCCTTAAAAAAAAAATTACTATCACTCACCACATGGTTTCCTTGGGCCATCCGCAGCAGACGTACCTCATTGTCTATCAAATGACCTTTGACCTTGGATTTACGTATGTGTTTGACAGCCACTACCTCCTCCCTGTTGGATCCCCGGGTCTTCAGGCCCCTGTAGACCGTCCCAGCATAGCCACTGCCCACTTCCTTCTGCAGCTCGATGCTGAAATAATCCGTGAGAACGGATTCTGCCGACTTCCGGAAAAACCTCAGATGAGTTTGACGAAGGGATGAGACGTCACGCATCATTTGGAATGTTCTGGTGATCGACGACTACACTCAGTGGTGAGATCGTGAGGTTTTGGTTAGTCAGGATGAGAGCACGACAGAATGATTTCCCAATTTTTTCTATTTCATTTGAACTTTACCTTTTTTACTTTTGACAAACAAATTGACACTATTTTTCCGGCGTTGGTATTCCTTTCCACGTGCTCCTCATCAAAAAGTTATCCTCAGATTGAAATGTAGAGCTTTTCAAATTTTCGGATAAGAAATGACGTGTTGAAATTAGTCTGAATAAGTCATACAACCATGAAACAGCTCTGTAGCTGTATAGATTTTGATATTGTGGCAAAACGTTGAACCATACACAAGTGCAGGTTTTGAAGATGTATTACCTGTGTCCACAAGAGTCTTGTTATCCAAAATTTCGAATTTAATTGAAGCACACAGAACAGATGTTCGTTGTCACAGAAAAGGCAATAGAAGGCTACTGTTTCATAATAACTATTTTATCACCATAAGGGAAATAGTAAAAATCACAAGAAGACATAAGACATGAACCCAAACTTGTTAAAACATTCCACACACACACAGCTAAAAATTGACGGAAAAGCTAAAAACGTTGTCTCTTCACATCGCCATGCTATGAACAAGTGACGGCGATCGGAGATCTACATTCCCTCCCAGATTTTTGTGTGTGAATTTTTTTCTTTCTGATCATGATTCTGAGTAAAATTCACATTTTGCACGAGAATGTGATCAGGCTGCAACGAACTGTGGGGTGACGTAGTGTTACAGTGTCCAGTTTGGGCATGTCAGCATTGCTCATACCGTGGGACAATGTGAGAAGTCAAGATTCCCTTTTTGAATGCGAGTTTTGAAGATCAGGGTAGTGGCCGTACTTCCAGCACATGGGCACGGCTCACCTCCGTGGCAAGCAGGCGAAGTCCACAATCTTCTACACATATAAACCAGAGGTTGGGGTTCAAATCTGAACTGATATTGTATTGTCTTAATTTAATCTTTTTTTTTGGCTTCTGGGAGATTTACTCTCACCTCAACATAGATGATGTGTTCATTTTTTACACTGTTTCGGCGAGGAACGAATAACCAAACCAGAAGAGCATGCAAATCGCGTGATGGTGGCATATATTATAATATAATAAACAACTGCTCTGCAGTACACTCTTCAGAATACTAGTATTTTTATGGTACCATTCTACAGTATCCATTTTCGACATCCTTTCACCTCACTTTTTCTAGACTGTTCCACAACTTTGAATTGATTTAATTCTGTTCATATTGAATGGATAGTTTACTTCATACAAATTCCAATGATTATATATAATTATGGTTTCTGTTCAGGAACTCGTTAACAATATTCTTTATTTTTTAGAAATAAAAAGGGTGGGGGAGGACTCGGGTTCAATTGATTATAATTAATTAACAGCTATTGTGTGAAAAGGGAGAAATTCAAATACCGGGTACCTTAAAAAAAGGACACATTTTAAGGGCAACAACTCCGTCATCTGCTGACCACATTCAACAAAACTTTAAAAATATAGATTCCAATCAGGGTTAAATTAAACTTGCTAATATAATAGAAATGAACAAACGTGTTGGAAAAAATATTAAGTATTTTATATATCTAATAAAAATTGAAACATAACTTTACAACTATCAAAATTCAACCACAATATTGTTCCATTTCAAATAGATCTCGGCATTATTGATGCTTTAGAGAACACATTTATACAAAACTTATATTGCAAAATAAAATCAGAGGGGTCACGGCTATTCAAATCTCTCTAGAGGATGACCATTTCTCTCCCTACAAGTTCGAATACATCTCTGGAAATTTTGAATGAACCTTTTGAATAGGCCCATGGCATCTTCCTGGGTTGATTCTTAAGACGTCCTCTTCTATATTGAGTTTCATCGGTTCTAATTGTAGTGGGTTCTTGCAAAGACTCTGTTTGTCAAAAAAAACCATACAAGTAATAACTGAAAGTGCTCAAGTTGGAGGTGGTAGTAACTATTCATTTGCAAAGTTTTGACTTAAAGGGGATTTCCGCCAACCTTTCTTGTAACCATACAAGTGCCACCCTTGACGAGCGGAGTGTAGCCCTATCCCACCGGAAACATGCCTCTATATATAGCTAGTATAACACCTTCTCTTCCCCAAACTTCTCCAAATCTTTTTGAGCATGGTATCATATTCGTCAGATCTCACTGTCGTGGTTCTGAAATTAGAAGGGACCGATCACGACCCTGCAGTTGAACACTGTAAAGAAGTGAAATTTTGCGTTTTACCCAATTTTGGTTGGCATTTTAAAAAATTAATAATTCTGAAACTCGATTTTTGATCTCTCCATATTTACCAATTTGAGGTGCCTTTGACTGGATTTTGTTTGCTTGAGGATTTGTTGAAATCAATATAGTGATAACCGAGTTATTGCCCTTTAAGTCAGTCCTCTTTTTTTTAGAGACCCTATACCTTTTCTATTGTCAATCGTTTGCCAACAGAAGCAGCTGGATTTTTTTTAATGTTTTTTTTTTTACTTTTGTATCCTCCAAATCAACTTAATTAATACTCTTGAGACCTGTAAGCCTATAAAAAATAAAGTAATAAACTTGAACTATCTATAAATCGGCGATTTGGGCAAGAAAAACGAATATAAAGCAACAACGCGTACGAATGAATACGTATAAATTTTTGCTCGTAAGAGTGAGGGAAGTAATCAATTTTGTGTTGAGTTCCTCTGAGCCAGAATTAGGATTATATTACACATCTGTATAAATTCCAGGTCTAGAGTCTTTGTGAGCAACAACTTAATCATGGCACCAAGCGCCGTTTCAGCTGAGGAGACTCACGGATCTCGTTAGGATTGACTACATATTAAAACCCCACCCCAATACCCCAACCCTCTCTCTTTCTCTCTCTCTCTCTCTCTCTCTCTCTCTTTCTCTCTCTCTCTCTCTCTCTCTCTCTCTCTCTCTCTCTCTC